GGAAATGGTCACTGCCATGGAGGTCATCAAGAACCTGCCACGTGAAATCAAAGTAAAGAGGTAAGAGATATGGGGCGACTAAGACAAACGAGTATCGAAAATCAACCGCAAAAGCTTAGCGGAATCCTTTTACACAATGGGGTGACCATAAAGCGACAAAGAAGGACGAAGAACAACACGCTTCCGAGTAAAAGTCAAAGCACAAGTCTTAGACGTAGAGAACCTGAAGCCATGATCGGTGGCCCAAGACGACACAGCATCAATCGCAAGTTGAAGCCGGCGTTAAAAGAGAGGCGAATCATCACCCCGACAGCAAAGGGTAAGATCGTCGACATAGAGAGCGGAGAAGACCATTCAGGGCAACCAGAAAGAGTAGTGCTCAGAACACTACCCTGAGGCACACCTTCGTATTGCTGAAAAGAGGAAGAGAGAGCGGTGCCAAGCCTCACCCAAAAGGAACGATGAGAGAGGAAGCTGCGGAAAAAGAGAGGGAGATGACCACGAAGGCCAAAAGAATAAAGTTATGTTAGAATATGACACCACCAAGTGGTGTCGTAAGCCTTCTCCAGGTCAAAAAGGATGGCAACAACGGAGGTCTTCGCAGCAAAAGCAGTACGAATATAGACCTCCAAGTTCACCAGGACATCTGTTATGCTGCGGCACTTGCGGAAACCAAATTGAGAAGGGGAGAGGTGGTGATGGTGTTCTAAGAATCACATCAGACGAACGTTAATCATACATTCAAAGAGTTTGCAGACACAACTTGTGAGGGCAACAGGGCGAAAATCCTAAGAGGATGTTCCCAGAGACCCTGGTTTGCTAACAGGGATGATAACAGCATCGAACCATTCCTCAGGGACCGACGACGACTCCCAGATCCGATTATACAGACTCAGTAAATACTGAGACGTGCACGGAGGGACATGGCGAAGCATCTCATAATGAATGCCATCGGAGCCTGCCGCCGTAGAACCGCAGAAGGCCAGGGCAGACCAAAGTACAGAGAGAGAAGGGATCGTTATAGGGAAGTCGAAGATGCGTGCAGAAATCTAAAGGACGAGATTCAAGGACAGGTTTACGAAGAAGGAAAGATTGAGGAAGATGAAAACCAGAGCCAACAGAAGAAAAGTGGGAACCCTGTTCGGTAGCGATCTGCAACGGGTCTGCCACAAGAGTACCACGGAAGTGAAGGACCAGTGAGTCATCGGGAACGAACTTACCCGCGATCTTGCAGATACGTTTCCAGATCTGTGGCAGAGGAGTTTCGGACGTAATGGTGGAGACATAAGACACCCAACATTCAAGTTTAACCGTATGGATGGCACTACGGGCCACCGCACTCGGCTTCCAAAATAAAAGAAAAGAATCGGCCGTCTGCCAGCGGCGGTGTCTCTTCCAGGCTGCATGCTTACAGCGGACAGCCCGAGCATAGTCTGCATTCCACCAGGGAATGCACTTCAGTGGTCCCCGAGAAGAAGAGAGAGGAATAGAGCAGAGGGCAGCGTCGAAGACGGCATCATGAAAAAGGAGGAGAGAGTGAGGGAGAGGTCAGAGAGAGCAGCACTGAGGGTAAATAGTTTCCAGTCTGCCTTAGCAAACTGCCACCTAGGAAAGGAGAGGGGAGGGTGAAAAGAGAAAAAGGTAACAAGGATGGGGAAATGGTCACTGCCATGGAGGTCATCAAGAACCTGCCACGTGAAATCAAAGTAAAGAGAAGATGAGCAAAGAGAAAGATCAAGACAGGAAAGGGTGCGAGTCCGAGAGTCCAAATGCTTGGGCTCACCAGAATTCAGAAGAGACGGGGAAGAAGAGAGGATGAACGGCTCAAGAAGGCGACCCCGGGTGTTCGTCAGAACATCACCCCAAAGGGAATGACGACAATTGAAATCACCCAGCAGGAGCACAGGCTCCGGCAATTAGTCCAGTAGGTGTTTCATATTGGGAAGAGAAAGCGGGACACTCGGGGGGAGATAAATGGAACAAACGGTGTACCATTTCCTCACAAAAATACAAGCTGCAGAACAATGGAGAGGCGAAGGAAAAAGTAAGAGGACAAAGGGAACATCAGAGCGAATCAAGAGAGCAGAAGAGTTAGGAGCCCCAGCAACAGCTTGGGGGTGGGGAGAGAAAGGAATAGCCACGAAAGCGACCAGGACGAGCACCAAGCATTGGCTCTTGGAGACAGACACAAAGGGGCGAAAACCGCGAAATCAGAAGTTAGAATTCAAGGAAATTGGCGTAATAACCACGAACGTTCCATTGAAAAATAGACATCGACGAGAAGAGAAAGGACAGCAACAGAGAACAACGAAGAAACAAAGGCGAAAAGCGAACACTGCACGTTAAAGAAGCGCAGGATCAAGGTCAGGGTCAGCGAAGTCAGGGTTAGGGGGCATGGGTAAACTGAGTAAAGAAGAAGGGAAGGGAGCTAGAGGACAGACCAGGGAAGAGAATTATCAGGAGAAAGAGGGGGAGGAGGAGGAGAGGGGGGAGGATAACCGAGGGTCAAGCAGCAGGAGGGGCAGAAACCAGGGGATGCACCTCAGCAAGGGCACCAACCGAGAGGAAAGCGGGTGCCAAAGAGACCTTCATAGTACTGACAGGCGGCGTGGAGAGCCAATAGACGGAGGAGAAGGATAGGAAGGAGATGAGGAAGAAGACACAGGAGACATGACAGACCGTGCAGAAAGAAGGGGAACCCCAGATAGAGGACCAGGAGGGGGACCCTTCGGGACAGAACTCAAAGGAACTGAGGAGGGGGCAGTGGGCAAGTCAGGGTCCAAGGCCTGGAAACGGATTTGAGTCTAAGGAAGGTGGGAAGGACGAGGAGAGGAAGAGCGCAACACGCGAGCATAAGAGACGTTAGCATAAGGTGGGAGCCGGCGAACTTGGCGCTTCGCCTCAGGAAAAGACAAACGCTTCCGGTGCTTCAAGTTGAGGATGGCTGCCTCAAGCTTGTAATATATACACTCACGGGAGAAGGTAGGGTGGGCCTCACCGCAATTGAGGCAGCGAGCCTGGGGAGAAGTGCACTCCGACTTAGAGTGACCTTCGCCCCCACACAAAGGACAGGGAGAGACAGTACCAGAGCAGCGGAGGGCACCATGCCCAAACCTTCAGCACTTACTACAGAGCCTAGAAGAGGGAATGCACTCCTGGACGGAGCACCTGGCATCAGCAAGAATGATACAGGGCGGAAGGGTCCGACCATCAAAGGTAATCTTCACAACCCGGAGGGGTTGACGGCGACGACCACGAGGGGGACGAGTAAACGAGTCACCTTGGAGAACAGAATAGCCCTGGGCATCGAGGATATGGCGAATATCTTCGTGGCAGTCCTGGAGATTCCGAACACCGGTAGCAACATGGGGTGGGAGGAGAATAGTGCCAACACTGGCATTTAACCGAGCGTTCTTGGAGACCCCGAACAGGGGTCTCGCCAAGGCAGGACAAGGCGGCCAAGCTGGCAGCTGCATCCTGAGAAGGAGCAGCAACGACATGTGTACCAAGACGGGTGGGGTGGAAAGTAACAGAGGTATCTATGGAATCAACAAGGTGCCTATGGAGGGAGAAATCGTCGGAAGACGCAGAATCAAGAGGGAGGAGATCAAAGTATTTGGTCCACGAAGCGGGACAAAACAAGGCTTGATACGCATCAGTACAGGAAGGAATCGAGTGAGTGCGGCCATGTCGAGGACGGCGTTGAGAACCCCCAGAGAGAGAGAGAGAGGTTAAAAGGTGCAGTAGTCACAACTAGAGACTGAGCTGTGCCAGAGGACGAGGTAGTCATCACTGGGGGCTTGGGGCTCGACCCAACCACAGAGGAGGGAGGGGAGCCGAGGGGAGTAGTCAGGAGGGTCAAAGGCAGAGCAAGGTCGGGGCACAATGCAGCTGCGGCTACAGTGCCCGGTTTTCCAACTCGGTCCAACTCGGGGGCTTGGTCGCCCACCCCACGAGCCTGAGAAGGTAAAAGAGGAACAGAATTTGACATAAGGACGAATAGAAAAACATTCATTCACGAATGTGCCCCCACACCCACCATTGAGCTACAGTTAGAGGCAGGACACCCAACAAGAAGCTATCGCCAATCATGCCGGGGCCCCCTAGGGGTGCGTCGTGAGTATACGCCCCACAAACGCCACCTTAAGAACCGTCAGTCCGTCGATCGGGTTCAGTGACGAAAGGAGGATTGACAATAAAAGATTCCCCTCGCTCTCGACGTTGAGTACTACAGTTCTACAGGCGCAAGAGTATGCCTTCCCAAGCACCCGGGCGTCAAAATAGAAGAAGTCCAAAAGAATAACCAAAACAAGCAAAAGGTCGGCAGGAAACAACAAGCGGATAGGCGAAGACGGGGGAGAAAAACGAAACATAAGGAAAAGGAAAAGCGATCCGGCACAATTGGAGAAGACAGCAGTAGGAGCATAAGGCCACAAAAGGACAGAGGACTGTCCCATGGAGCATCACACTACGGCAGCAACCGACCACCAAGCCCCCCCTCACGGCGCCAACTGATGTGATTGAGGTGTACAAGTGGGTGAATAAGCATAACAAAGGGGATATTAATAGGGTATTAAAATTGTCTACACATAATAGAACACGAAACAATGGGTATAAATTGGATAAGTTTAAATTTAGGAAAGACCTGGGTAAATACTGGTTCGGTAACAGGGTTGTTGATTTGTGGAACCAAATACCGCGTAACATGATAGAAGTAGGATCCCTTGATTGTTTCAAGCATAGGTTATGCATATATATGAATGAATTTGGGTGATTATAAATAGCATCATATGGGCTAATAGGCCTTCTGCAGTTACCTATGTTCTTATGTTCTATATATTGTGATCGTTAAGACTGACATAACCCAAGGGCATGTGAGGGTCAAATAATATATCTTCCTATATACTGTAAATCCTAAATTATATGTTATACTTCTGGATATCTCATTAATCTCTTAATGGGAGCAACAAGTGACTTATCCTGCCATGTCCCTCTGCCAGCCTTCCCCATCATCAAGGGCCAGTCCCTCCCAGGGGCCCAGGGCCCGTCCCTCCAAGGGGCCCAGGGCCCGTCCTTCCCTGAGGCCCAGGACGCCCGCTACATGTCGGCCGAACATCGCCTCTTTGAGTACCTCTTCAGCAAATACAACAAGCACGTTCGACCCATCGAGTACTCCGGAGAAATTACTAATGTGTTCTTCGAGCTTTCTATCTTCAATATCTTGGCCGTGGTGAGTAGAGAGAGAGAGAGAGAGAGAGAGAGAAGTCATTCTTAAACGCTATTTATCATATCATATAGCTATCTCCCGGACAGGCCCCCACTTGTTATGGGGCAGGTGGTTGTACTGAGAAGGGCCAATAGGTAAAGTCAAGGTGTTCCTAAAATAGTGGAATAGATAGGCTTGGCCCCCAAGGAAAAATGTTCCCAGCAATGATTATTTGTTTTAAATTAAAGGTCTGCAGTCTAGTAGCTAATCATCTTCTCCACTTCAACAGTATGGACAGATACACCTCAAACTCTAACTTATTTGTTAAACCCTCTCATAACGCCCCATATACTTTAATACAATAAATCACTTTACCACTTGACCTTACGTTAAACACCTTGGTCCACATAGGCAGGATGCAAGGTTGACAATTGCAAACTAGTGAAAAGACTACTTGGAGAAGGACACTTGTATCAAAGGTACCACAGACTTAAGCACACGTGGGTTCACTAGTCCCCTAGAGTACACTTAGAGATACCAACACCCTTGCTTAGGTTACACAAGAACTAAATACACACCTAGCCAGTAACACGGTAACACAGTATAAGGTACTTAACTTGTAGAACAGAGACACAGGATAAGGTAAGGGGAGAGAGAAGGAGGAGGAGAACAGAGCTCACAAGGGAGAGTGTAAATGCCACCAAGCCCCCACAGAGAAGGAGGGAGAGTCCAGCCACGGAGCTCTCTCAAGCTGCTGCCGGGAAGATACCTAGCTGATCGTACAGCCATAAACATACAAGTCTTCACCGACATTCATTACTACTTACTTTAACAGTTCTAAGAATAGCTGATAACTAGTTCAATATTATTTTAATAGTCAACAAGCCCAGAGTCTGAATAATCTGTGAGTAACAAGGTTCGTCTTACGTCTGGCAAGGAAGACTGAGACAAATACGCATCAGGTATGAGAAGCCCTGAATATAAACGTTATTGTTAATTACAAATACCTCTTACACAACTATTTAGAACTCAATTTAACCTCTGGTTTCTAAATAGGAACCCAGGGTCGTAACAACATGTAAACATAAAGGCAAAATCTTTTATAAAGTTTGATAACAAATTCAACTTTTGACCAACTCTGTACGCCTTCAATGAAATAACATAAATATTGGAAAATATCTCTATTCAAATACATTGATTATCTATATAAGAGATTACTCCCATACAATTGAAGAGATTAATTATCAAATAATTACAGCTTGTGAGAACAATTAATAAAATTAATTAATAATTGAGTCACCTTGTATTAATGTTGTGTATGTTGTATATAAAGTACAAGTTCGGGACTGCATTAATTACGCAGTTTGGTAATTGGTATAATTTGTGGGAAGTGTAAAGTAGGTGAGTATCAGCTGTTGGTTAGCTCAGCTGTTGTTGGTTAGCTCAGCTGTTGTTGGTTAGGTCAGCTGTTGTTGGTTAGGTCAGCTGTTGTTGGTTAGGTCAGCTGTTGTTGGTTAGGTCAGCTGTTGTTGGTTAGGTCAGCTGTTGTTGATTAGGTCAGCTGTTGTTGATTAGGTCAGCTGTTGTTGATTAGGTCAGCTGTTGTTGATCAGGTCAGCTGTTGTTGATCAGGTCAGCTAAGCTTTCCTGTCATGTATCTATATATAACACTCCCCCCCCCCTTGTTACCACCACTGTCTACCACCACCTTCCATGTTACCACCACTGTCTACCACCACCCCCCATGTTACCACCACCATATACCACATCAAATATCAACAAACAATGTTAGATATTGGTGCATGACCCGTGCCATGAGTGAGGGTGCTGACTTCCCCCACACACCCCACAGGACACCAAGCTGCAGCAGATGACGACGAACACAGAGATGATCATGAAGTGGAAGGACTTCCACCTGAGGTGGGACCCCGGCCTCTTCAACGGCACCACCAGCATCCGGATCCCCTACAAGAGCATCTGGTACCCGGACATCATCCTGACCAACACGTACGTTCCTCTTGTGACCTGAGTAACCAGCGAACATGAGAGAGAGAGAGGAGAGAGGAGAGAGGAGAGAGGAGAGAGGAGAGAGAGAGAGAGAGAGAGAGAGAGAGAGAGAGAGAGAGAGAGAGAGAGAGAGAGAGAGAGAGAGAGAGAGAGAGAGAGAGAGAGAGAGAGAGAGAGAGAGAGAGAGAGAGAGAGAGAGAGAGGTGTTGGTCTAATATACAGAATGAGGTGATGAGTTTTGAAGAGAGAGGAAGGGATTGGACGTACCGTTGTGATGCACTGCATGTTTGCAGTAGTATTTGTTGACCTGCATTGCTGCAATATTGTGTTGCAGTCTGGTGTGTGTATATATGTTATACGGAACATGTTTTTTGTATATTATTATAGCAGGCGTGAAAAATGAAAGGCAGATATGTGTTCACAGTGTTCATATAGTGTAGAAAGTCCTACAGTATTCACGGGGAAGGACTTTGTGTAACTACTTATTGCAATATATCTCAGTGCAAATGTTGTTTGGTTTAATTGTTTATCTAAGAAGTTACAGCTGGACTTCCCAGAGGAGCGGGAAGGCATGTTTGGAGCGCGAGGTTGTTATCATTGTCAAGGGCGACCTGTGGGCCTCAGGCGAGTCCAAGAACCTGTGCTTCGGTGTGTTTTGTAACGCCTCTTTGCAAGCTCCCTCACAAGGACTCCTGGGCAGGACGTGCACACTAAAATTTACATGAATATTTCAGTATGGCAGTGTTAGTGTTGTTGACCAGGCCTGTGATGTTGTATTGGCCTGTGGTGTTGTATTGGCCTGTGGTGTTGTATTGGCCTGTGGTGGTGTTGACCAGGACTGTGGTGTTGTTGACCAGGCCTGTGGTGGTGTTGACCTGGCCTGTGGTGGTGTTGACCTGGTCTGTGGTGGTGTTGACCTGGCCTGTGGTAGTGTTGACCAGGCCTGTGGTGGTGTTGACATGGTCTGTGGTGGTGTTGACCTGGCCTGTGGTGGTGTTGACCAGGCCTGTGGTGGTGTTGACCTGGCCTGTGGTGGTGGTGACCAGGCCTGTGGTGGTGTTGACCTGGCCTGTGGTGGTGTTGACCAGGCCTGTGGTGGTGTTGACCTGGCCTGTGGTGGTGTTGACCAGGCCTGTGGTGGTGTTGACCTGGCCTGTGGTGGTGTTGACCAGGCCTGTGGTGGTGTTGACCTGGCCTGTGGTGGTGTTGACCAGGTCTGTGGTGGTGTTGACCAGCCCTGTGGTGGTGTTGACCTGGCCTGTGGTGGTGTTGACCTGGCCTGTGGTGGTGTTGACCAGGCCTGTGGTGGTGTTGACCTGGCCTGTGGTGGTGTTGACCTGGTCTGTGGTAGTGTTGACCTGGTCTGTGGTGTTGACCTGGCCTGTGGTGGTGTTGACCAGGCCTGTGGTGGTGTTGACCAGGCCTGTGGTGGTGTTGACCTGGCCTGTGGTGGTGTTGACCAGGCCTGTGGTGGTGTTGACCAGGCCTTTGGTGGTGTTGACCTGGCCTGTGGTGGTGTTGACCTGGTCTGTGGTGGTGTTGACCTGGCCTGTGGTGGTGTTGACCAGGCCTGTGGTGGTGTTGACCTGGCCTGTGGTGGTGTTGACCAGGCCTGTGGTGGTGGTGACCAGGCCTGTGGTGGTGTTGACCAGGCCTGTGGTGGTGTTGACCAGGCCTGTGGTGGTGTTGACCAGGCCTGTGGTGGTGTTGACCAGGCCTGTGGTGGTGTTGACCAGGCCTGTGGTAGTGTTGACCAGGCCTGTGGTGGTGTTGACCAGGCCTGTGGTGGTGTTGACCAGGCCTGTGGTGGTGTTGACCTGGTCTGTGGTGGTGTTGACCTGGTCTGTGGTGGTGTTGACCTGGCCTGTGGTGGTGTTGACCAGGCCTGTGGTGGTGTTGACCTGGCCTGTGGTGGTGTTGACCAGGCCTGTGGTGGTGGTGACCAGGCCTGTGGTGGTGTTGACCAGGCCTGTGGTGTTGTCCTCGCCTGTGGTGGTGTTGACCAGGCCTGTGGTGGTGTTGATCAGGCCTGTGGTGGTGTTGACCTGGCCTGTGGTGGTGTTGACCAGGCCTGTGGTGGTGTTGACCAGGCTTGTGGTGGTGTTGACCAGGTCTGTGGTGGTGTTGACCTGGCCTGTGGTGGTGTTGACCAGGCTTGTGGTGGTGTTGACCAGGTCTGTGGTGGTGTTGACCAGGCCTGTGGTGGTGTTGACCAGGTCTGTGGTGGTGTTGACCTGGCCTGTGGTGGTGTTGACCTGGCCTGTGGTGGTGTTGACCAGGCCTGTGGTGGTGTTGACCTGGTCTGTGGTAGTGTTGACCTGGCCTGTGGTAGTGTTGACCTGGTCTGAGGTGTTGTCCTCGCCTGTGGTGGTGTTGACCTGGTCTGTGGTGGTGTTGACCGGGCCTTGTACCCCTCCAGCGCCACCGGGGACTACGAGGGCAGCGTCCTCAACACCAACGCCATCATCAACTACCTGGGGGAGGTGGAGCTGATGAGCCACGCCATCCTGACCACTGTCTGCCTCATGGACGTTCAGTGGTACCCCTTCGACCAGCAGACCTGCAGCCTGGCCTTCAGCTCCTGGACCTACGACAACAGCAAGGTAGGATGACTTACAGTCTTGTCCTGGCCCCTCTTTCTCCTGAGGCTCTTGTGCGCCTCTTGGGGCTCCTTGCCACCTGGACAGAATATTATTATTTTTAGCAACCAAATTAAGGTCCTGGCCATGTCCGCGGCCAGTTAAGAGGTGCATAAAACCAGTAAGTTATTAAAGAAAGAATAATCAGTTAAGATGACTGCACAATTATTACTGCAGCATAGAGTAACAACGAGCCAAAGGCACCGCTAGACTATATTCCCTCTAGCACCTATAGATCATTATAGACAATATAAAGGCACTATATTCCCTTGAGCGAGTAAAGGAAATATCAGAGAGGCAACCAGTGACTCTTCTCATATGCGTGTGTTTACCTGTGCTCAACGATTATGTCTTAAGCACATGATTAAGACCAAATTAATTTCATCCTAATTTAAGAATGGACAACGTAAAGTAGCACTAACAACAAGCTTTGCAAATGAATCGATAGTTTGGTGCAGTTTGTAATATGCGATCATTATATGTGGTCTTGCAGTGTAACTCTTTGTCAGTTGTACTGCAGTGATGACACTGACGGTGGTGTAAACTGGTGGTGATGACACTGACGGTGGTGTAAACTGGTGGTGATGACACTGACGGTGGTGTAAACTGGTGGTGATGACCCTGACAGTGGTGTAAACTGGTGGTGATGACACTGACGGTGGTGTAAACTGGTGGTGATGACCCTGACAGTGGTGTAAACTGGTGGTGATGACACTGACGGTGGTGTAAACTGGTGATGATGACACTGACGGTGGTGTAAACTGGTGGTGATGACACTGACGGTGGTGTAAACTGGTGGTGATGACCCTGACGGTGGTGTAAACTGGTGGTGATGACACTGACGGTGGTGTAAACTGGTGGTGATGACACTGACGGTGGTGTAAACTGGTGGTGATGACACTGACGGTGGTGTAAACTGGTGGTGATGACACTGACGGTGGTGTAAACTGGTGGTGATGACACTGACGGTGGTGTAAACTGGTGGTGATGACCCTGACGGTGGTGTAAACTGGTGGCGATGACACTGACGGTGGTGTAAACTGGGGGTGATGACATTGACGGTGGTGTAAACTGGTGGTGATGACACTGACGGTGGTGTAAACTGGGGGTGATGACATTGACGGTGGTGTAAACTGGTGGTGATGACACTGACGGTGGTGTAAACTGGTGGTGATGACACTGACGGTGGTGTAAACTGGTGGTGATGACACTGACGGTGGTGTAAACTGGTGGTGATGACCCTGACGGTGATGTAAACTGGTGGTGATGACACTGACGGTGGTGTAAACTGGTGGTGACGACACTGACGGTGATGTAAACTGGTGGTGATGACCCTGACGGTGATGTAAACTGGTGGTGATGACACTGACGGTGGTGTAAACTGGTGGTGATGACGCTGACGGTGGTGTAAACTGGTGGTGATGACACTGACGGTGGTGTAAACTGGTGGTGATGACACTGACGGGGAGTGTGGCGGGGAGCAGGGCCATGTTAGAGAGTGTGGCGGGGAGCGGGGCCATGTTGGAGAGTGTGGCGGGGAGCGGGGCCATGTTGGAGAGTGTGGCGGGGAGCAGGACCATGTTGGAGAGTGTGGCGGGGAGCGGGGCCATGTTGGAGAGTGTGGCGGGGAGCGGGGCCATGTTGGAGAGTGTGGCGGGGAGCAGGGCCATGTTGGAGAGTGTGGCGGGGAGCGGGGCCATGTTGGAGAGTGTGGCGGGGAGCAAGACCATGTTGGAGAGTGTGGCGGGGAGCAGGACCATGTTGGAGAGTGTGGCGGGGAGCAGGACCATGTTGGAGAGTGTGGCGGGGAGCAGGACCATGTTGGAGAGTGTGGCGGGGAGCAGGACCATGTTGGAGAGTGTGGCGGGAAGCAGGTCCATGTTGGAGAGTGTGGCGGGGAGCAGGACCATGTTGGAGAGTGTGGCGGGGAGCAGGGCCATGTTGGAGAGTGTGGCGGGGAGTAGGACCATGTTGGAGATTGTGGCGGGGAGTAGGACCATGTTGGAGAGTGTGGCGGGGAGCAGGACCATGTTGGAGAGTGTGGCGGGGAGTAGGACCATGTTGGAGAGTGTGGCGGGGAGCAGGACCATGTTGGAGAGTGTGGCGGGGAGTAGGACCATGTTGGAGAGTGTGGCGGGGAGCGGGGCCATGTTGGAGAGTGTGGCGGGGAGCGGGGCCATGTTGGAGAGTGTGGCGGGGAGTAGGACCATGTTGGAGAGTGTGGCGGGGAGCGGGGCCATGTTGGAGAGTGTGGCGGGGAGCAGGGCCATGTTGGAGAGTGTGGCGGGGAGCAGGACCATGTTGGAGAGTGTGGCGGGGAGTAGGACCATGTTGGAGAGTGTGGCGGGGAGCAGGGCCATGTGCCATGTTGGAGAGTGTGGCGGGGAGCGGGGCCATGTTGGAGAGTGTGGCGGGGAGCGGGGCCATGTTGGAGAGTGTGGCGGGGAGCGGGGCCATGTTGGAGAGTGTGGCGGGGAGCAGGACCATGTTGGAGAGTGTGGCGGGGAGCAGGACCATGTTGGAGAGTGTGGCGGGGAGCAAGACCATGTTGGAGAGTGTGGCGGGGAGCAGGACCATGTTGGAGAGTGTGGCGGGGAGCAGGACCATGTTGGAGAGTGTGGCGGGGAGCGGGGCCATGTTGGAGAGTGTGGCGGGGAGCAAGACCATGTTGGAGAGTGTGGCGGGGAGCAGGACCATGTTGGAGAGTGTGGCGGGGAGCGGGGCCATGTTGGAGAGTGTGGCGGGGAGCAGGACCATGTTGGAGAGTGTGGCGGGGAGTAGGACCATGTTGGAGAGTGTGGCGGGGAGCAGGACCATGTTGGAGAGTGTGGCGGGGAGCAGGACCATGTTGGAGAGTGTGGCGGGGAGCAGGACCATGTTGGAGAGTGTGGCGGGGAGTAGGACCATGTTGGAGAGTGTGGCGGGGAGCAGGGCCATGTTGGAGAGTGTGGCGGGGAGCAGGGCCATGTTGGAGAGTGTGGCGGGGAGCAGGGCCATGTTGGAGAGTGTGGCGGGGAGCAGGACCATGTTGGAGAGTGTGGCGGGGAGTAGGGCCATGTTGGAGAGTGTGGCGGGGAGCAGGGCCATGTTGGAGAGTGTGGCGGGGAGTAGGGCCATGTGAACAACAGTATAGACCCTGGCCAATACAGTGCACTGGGTTCCCTACCCAGATGACGGGCCCCACCGGGCCCCCTAAAGTGAAAATTACTATCAGATAGTTTTACAGAAGTTCTTTATATTATAAATATTGTTTAAAAAGGGATTAAAAACCAGCGAGCTTTCCAGCGAGAGGTCGAGTAATTATCCTTTCTACCAAGAGATATTTCATGAACAATATGGCAGTATGGAGTCTCTAGAGTCGTGGGGCTCCTGGCATCCTGTCCTCTTAAAAAGAACGTCGCTTTTGGCCGTTTGCCCGTATGGCCGAATTTGGACGTAATTTGAAAATGAAAAAAAAAAGAAAATAAATTTGGGATTTTTTTTTTTCGACAACAGTAAGTTAAGGGTCCTCTGATAGGTTAGGTGGGCAGGAAATTCTCATAAAGTTTCAAAACGTTATGAAAAACGTTAATTTAAAGTGTGCTCTCATAACCTCTGCGCGTACGCCGGACGACTCAAATAGAAAACGGAACAGAACGTCACTTTTGTGAGTCGATTTCATTTCAAATTTCGTCCAAATTTAGCCATATCGCGCATACGAGCCAAAAGTGACGTTATTTTTAAGAGGATGGGTTGCTCCTGGACCCAGTGTGGCTATGTGTGAGGAAGCAACCCGTTCTCGCACTTTCTTACAGTCAATATTGACTTATTAAATACGTACATATGTGACATACTAAACATACCAGTTTACCTTGAAAAGCTTCATAGAAAACACCGACCTTACCTAACCTTCTTAGTATGTTAAGATAAGCATCTTATTGCTTCGTAATTACAATTATTACTTAACTTATTATAGGTATAGGTTAAGTAATAATTGTAATTACGAAGCAATAAGATGCTTACCTTAACATACTAAGAAGGTTAGGTAAGGTCGGTGTTTTCTATGAAGCTTTTCAAGGTAAACTAGTATGTTTAGTATGTCACATACGCACGTATTTAATAAGTCAATATTGACTGTAAGAAAGTGCGAGAACGGGTTGGAGGACGACACTGGTGACTAGTGTTTCTTATTTTCTACCACAGACGTTATCTTGAGGTTATCTTGAAATCACTTGAGATGATTTCTGGGCTTAGCGTTCCCGCGGCCTCTAGGCCTCGACCAGGCCTTTTGTTACACCCCCCAGGAAGCAGCCCGTAGCAGCTGTCTAACTCCCAGGTACCTATTTACTGCTAGGTAACAGGGGCATCAGGGTGAAGGAAACATTTTGCCCATTTGTTTCCGCCTCCACCGGGGATCGAACCCGGAACCTCAGGACTACGAATCCGAAGCGCTGTCCACTCAGTTGTCAGGCCCCCTTAACGTGGCCACACTTTTACAATGCTAACCTACATATATACATTTTCTTCTGTCCTCCATGGACAAGGTTAGAGATCTGTTAAACATGTTGTTCGGTGATTTATTGAACAATACACCACAGAAAGTGAGTGTAGTGCTTTTAAAATGCTAATCTAACCTACATACATAAACACACAGATTTACGTCTGACCTACATAAACAGTGTTCAAGGTGTCTTTTGTATGGGTAGTGGGTGGAGGAGCCACCACTGCTCACGGCACGTCCAGACAACTCGACAGGTCTCTAACACCCCCAACTGTCTCCTAATATTTTACAAATATTTATATCTTTGTGTCAATGATGTTCGTGCCATTACCATTATAATATTGGCGGGAAAAGCACTATAATTGAATGTTTGTATTTGTGGGTCTCAGATCCGGTTGGTGCAGGGGCCGGCCGACCTCTCCAAGTTCAGACAGAATCCAGAGTTCTTCCTGGAGGACTTCTACTCCAAGCTGGAGGATATTATCAACCCGTGCTGCCCCATACCCATGTCAAGTGAGTCTCGCACTCCTCCTTACCTCCTCTCATTAACATTGAGCCTACCCAACTCTACACACAACCTGTGTAGACCTACACGCTACCTGTGTAGACCTACACGCTACCTGTGTAGGCCTACACACAACCTGTGTAGACCTACACACTACTTGTGTAGACCTACACACAACCTGTATAGACCTACACACTACTTGTGTAGACCTACACACAACCTGTGTAGACCTACACACTACTTGTGTAGGCCTACACAGAACCTGTGTAGACCTACACGCTACCTGTGTAGACCTACACGCTACCTGTGTAGGCCTACACACAACCTGTGTAGACCTACACACTACTTGTGTAGACCTACACACAACCTGTATAGACCTACACACTACTTGTGTAGACCTACACACAACCTGTGTAGACCTACACACTACTTGTGTAGGCCTACACAGAACCTGTGTAGACCTACACACAACCTGTGTAGACCTACACACTACTTGTGTAGGCCTACACAGAACCTGTGTAGACCTACACACAACCTGTGTAGACCTACACACTACTTGTGTAGGCCTACACAGAACCTGTGTAGACCTACACACAACCTGTGTAGACCTACACACTACTTGTGTAGGCCTACACAGAACCTGTGTAGACCTACACACGCACCATATTCCAGCGTCTATGGCCAGCACTTATGCTAATTTTGTTTGAAAGTTGATGATCTGGCACCATAAGCATCAACCGACAATGTTATGAGAAGAAATATACAACTACGTGAAGGCTACTGAATACAACCTCACGTCCAATCCTAGCAAATGTGCTGTTGGTCCTATATACTCACTGGACTTTTTTTTTGTATCCAGATCAGAAACTAACATTACTAGGTAGAGAGATTTCAGTACAGTATATTACACAGCATCAGTGGCATATTTATATCCTCAAAAGGCACAATTTGGTCATCTTGATGCCTGGTGGAAAGTAAAGTTATTTAACAGGTAATGTCTCGGCTTGTAAGGATATGAAGTATGGGTCACTCCAACTTTTCCAGAAATATCTTGATTGTAAGAAAACAAGTTAAGAGTGAATGTTGTTCATTCCACCCCCAGATGGTCCAAGGGGATGAGTACCGTTCCTTCAGTCCTTTCACCTATCCCAGCTCCTATCCTCTCTTCATATCCTTGAGGTTACCTTGAGGTTACCTTGAGGTGCTTCCGGGGCTTAGCGTCCCCGCGGCCCGGTCGTCGACCAGGCCTCCTGGTTGCCGGAGGAGTTCCCCTTACAAGTTCTATTTAGTCATACTTGCAAAGCGATTTCTAGCGATACTTACGCTTATGCTTTTCGTGGACAGCCATCAGGTACTACCTGCAGGTCCAGCGGCGGACCATCTTCTCCCTCTTCTTCTTCATCATGCCGGGGATCCTCATCAACTTCTGCGGTACGTGGCCCCTGCTTACTCACTCCTTACTCGCATATACTCACTCATTGACTCATTGTGCTCTTACTACCAGTGGTTCTCTGCGTTAGTGTGATTATGTGTCTTCCCGCCAGCCCTCATGGTCTTCTCTCTGCCAGCGGAGTCCGGCGAGAAGATCGGTCTGGGCATCAACTCCATGCTGGCCATGATGGTCTTCCTCATGGCCATGACGGACAACCTCCCGCCCACCGAGAAGCTGCCCCTCGCAGGTGTGTGTCAACCAAACGTGGCGTGCTAAAACCTGGCTCTCCACACCTGTGACCACATACACGTTGGTAGCTTAGGCTGTATTATTTCAGGTATAAGAAACGTATAGTATGGCTCCTTCCAGGGATGTAAAGGGTGACTCTTCCTATATGTGTAGAAATATGACTAATTCTAGAGGTGTAAAGTGTGTCCCCTCCTGCAGGTGTGTACTACGGCGCCTGCATCAGTATGATCGCCCTCAACATTGCTCTCTCCGTCACTGTTCTCAACCTGAATGTGATGGGCATGCGAGGCTACCAGGTGCCAGAGTTCCTCAAGTAAGGCCCCTACCACTAGTCTTTAAACTGAAGTAGATGAATTAAGTACCTGTGTGTGTGCGTACATAAACAATATCTTCTATAGCAGTCACACACACAAACATGGGTTAATGTGCAGAAGCCTCGCACGGGCCAATCAGCTTTCTGGAGTTTCCTCTGTTAAGAATAAAATTCTACCTTATTCTACCCTATAATGACCTCTCTTCCTGTCATTATGGCAGACAGCCCGGTCCATATACCTTTACAAAAGTACAGTCGTTAATTGTAAGGAAATGTCATCATAAAAATCAATAAAAAATTAGATGATATTATGAGGGTTGATAGTGATGGTTGCCGGCAGGATGGTGACGCTGGTGGTGGCCCGCGCCATCATTGTCCGGATCCCCATCATTGTCAGGAAGGCCTGGAACATCTCTGTGAGTACTGGTCACTTTGCTGAGCTGGTGAGGGACTCTGCCTGGGTAGTGAGGGGACCCTTGGCCCTGGGTGCGAGGGATGAGGGAGTCCTAGTACCCATGGTGTGGGTAGTAAGGATGCCCTTGGCCCTTGGCACGAGGGATGAGGGAGTCCTAGTACCCATGGTGTGGGTAGTAAGGATGCCCTTGGCCCTGGGAGCGAGGGGGTGAGGTAGCTCTTTACACTTTAAAATGGTAAGTAGAGTGACTAAGGTAGAGTGAAGTGTGCCTGGTGTGTGAGTGTTGTTTTGGAGCCATCAGTCTCATCGTCAGCCATGGACAAAAAGGTCATAAAGGTCACTCTGTGTGAAGGATGTGTGAGTAAAACACTGCGAGACATGTTCAGGAGATGGAAGATGACTGTGACAAGAAAATAGTACTTCATACACCTGCCATAGTCACCCATCACCACACATCTGCATCAATCACCCATCACCACACACCTGCCACAGTCACCCATCACCACACACCTGCCACAGTCACCCATCACCACTCCTCCCTCCTCAGGAAAAGAGCAAGACGATCACGCGGGTGCAGAAGTTGAAGGAGAAGATGCACATGTCTGGCAACACGGTGAAGGTCTTCAACGTTCTGCCGCAGACCCCCAAGACGCAGGAGCTGCCCGAGGTGAAGCAGCACTTCGAGGACGACCTCAACCACACCGTACTCACGGGTAAGCTGAGACGACGCGAGAAGTCTGCATTTTCTAGCCTTAACTAAATGGCCATCTTCCAGTAATACTTTGGTGATGTTTCAGTTTATATGGAAAGGGTTCAAAATAATACAATTTACCTTTGATTGCGATGCATCTAACAGCGATCTCAGTCTTCATGTGTCTCTTGTTGCACACGCTAAAGGATTTACATTTTCCGCCACTGAGGAAGCAGAGTCTGTGTTGCTAAACTTGCACTTATGTACATGTTTGTGAGCACTGGTTTATTAGCTACTTTGTATCCCTGACCGACACGTCTCTCAGCCTCGAGTGGACAAGTTTGTCTCTGATCAAACACGCATCTCAGCATCACCATTGTGTGACTTTCCAGTCCTCTGGCACAGCATCCCATAAATTTGTGCTAAATAAATTTCAGAATTACTGCATAAACATCCACATCACCTTCATCCTCCACACATTTCAGATTCTGTGATGTAATCACACTGGCAGTATGCGTCCTGCTTCTTGTTCATGGCTCATAGCCAGTATATTGTATAGTGAATTCAGCAACCAAAGCGCTGAGTGTACACATACATCTCTGTACATTCCATAAGATATTCCTTGCTAACACAGCTCCAGAATTACATTCATTATTTGGTTATTCCAGATCCCTTCCAGCGGCGTGCCATCGCTGTTCTGGAGTCCATAAACAAGATTTTAACCCGGGAACAAGAAGAGCGAGATGTGCTTACCGTAAGGAACACGCTGGTGGAGGAGTGGAAGTTTGTGTCGCGAGTGATGGACCGAACACTCTTCCTAACCTTCACCCTGATCACCTTCATCTTTAACGTCTCCATCCTCACCTCCTCGCCCTTCAGGGAGAGGTTCGCCTACTGCCCACTTGGAGATAACGGAGAGTGTGACGACCTCACATGGGAACAAATTATCGAGATCACCAGCCACGCAGCCAACAACATTCACTTCTCAGGGACAAAGAAGGGCCACACTCCTGCAGAAGCGTCTGACGCAGCTCACCTCCAGAACAATCACGCCTACATTACAAATATTCAGAAGATCCCCGAGGTAGCCTACGACGGCTTCGACGACCCGCCTCCAGACAAAAGTGCGGCTCCCTACACCACCTCCCAGGGCATCCAAGGCTCCGCCAAAATCAGGAAACTCGACTCGCCTGATCACTATGATGAGCCTGGCGACCTTGACGAAGACCATAGCCCCAACGACACCTCCAGGAACCGCCCACAAGGTGGCTGAACCGCGGCACTGAACCATCAGGTCCAATACAAAGGAACTCTTGTAATTTTTCTAATATAACTCACAAGAGGGTGTACCAGACGGTGCTTGAGTGATGGGCGCTACATCTTCACTACATGCTGTCTTCATGACTGTAGCCATCTTCACTGCTCATTATCTTCATCACTGTAACCTCCTGGATTGCTTATTCTCTTCATCACTGTAACCATCTCCACTTCTCATTATCTTCATCACTGTAGCAATTTCCACTTCATGTTATGTTCACTGTATCCATCTTTACTGCTTCAGTAAAATATCTATGCTACAGTACAGTACAGTATCTTCATCACTGTAATCACCTTCCTTTTTTAAATACTCTATTACTGTAACCATCTTCACTGCTTACTATCTGCATCACTGTAACCATCTTCACTCCTTACTATATGTTTCACTGTAACCATTTTAAATACAAACCTTCCGTCTCCTTCATCACTTTCCTTAGCCCCCATCACCTTCACCACCTTCCTTACCTCCCCTCACAATCTTCCCTCTCCATCTTTACCGTTCACCATCTTCCCTACCATTCACTACCTGCCCTTCACCTCCCAGGTACCTTCTCTGCTCTACACCTCCTCTCCATCCCTGTAATATTCGTGAGAATGGAGTCTTTTATTTTGCCACACTAGAAATTATTATGATTTGCCATTTGATGCAAAGAGAGGGGCATGGGGCTCGACCCCGACCCTCCTATGACCATCCCCGAACAAAGACCAGTCACCCTGCAAAGTTTAGTGAGGCTAGCATCAGGCTTCTGGCCGCCAACCTCGAAAAGATAGACACGGACACGGAAATAATTGCCCTATATATCCTGACCAATTTGAGCACCTGGCCTAGGGGGCTAAATAACAGCATACAAAATATTAGGTCAGGGTTAGCTTGACAATATTAATATTGGGATTAAGTTAGGAATGTGGAGCCTTGACTATGACCCCTACCCAAACTAACCTAACTGAAATCTTACCTGACTGAATCTTACTTAAGTTACTTCGTTAAATTCAGAAATATGGGACAAACTGCAGTACAAGTTAAGCGTGGACCAGAAATCTGGCGATGACTCGTCACCTCGAATATTAAAAATAATTGTTCGTGTTTTAATTCATATAAGTGAAGTTGTTCTACATGTAAGCAACGTCTAATAATCTGGTAGTATAATAAAATGGAAAAAATATATATTTATAAGTAAAATCTCTGTAACATGACGTTAGAGGAAGTGATTGCCAGTTAGTAACAAATATCAAAGTTAACCAACTGGTAATAAGAGTGTAACCAACCTTCTAGTTAGTAATACAAGGTTTACTTGTATTACTAACAGAGATGGAGTGTGCCATCTCTGTGTTGCGTAGATTTGGGTCGAGTTCAACACTCTCCTACACACGCGGTATAGTGACGTCATCAGTGTCTTTGGCAGCGTTCGGATGCAACAATTGTTGTTTCATTTCAAATTTATCATCTGCGGATATTTGTATTTATGGTTATATTCGTATATTTGCTTCTAATTATTTTTTGTAACTGGACAAAAACAAATCGACAAAGTATAAATTAGACAGAATGAGGGAGCGGGTGGGGCGTTAAAAAGATATTTTCACCTGTAATTGGCTGTGTTAAAATAAGCAATTTGGCTACTTATCTACTAATGGGTTGGAAATGGGACTCTTATGTGATATTGCAATATCATAAAATAGGCATATATCAGAGGATAATATATTCATGGAGAAAGGGCAGCTAGGGAGGTTTGTTGACAATGTTGGAAGCGTGAAGTAGGCGAGACGCGTCACAGGTCACGTGACGTTGTTGACACACCCAGGCGAGCCCTCCAGGCAGGTGTACCTTCAGTTTTTGGTTTGCTAGTGCAGTGTTGACTGTCGGTGTCTCGAGCAATACTGAGGAGTACAGTGGACGCTAGTGAGGTAGGAGGGAGAGACAAGACAAGCGGGGCCGGCCTGGTGTGTATGGCTTGCTCCTGGTCAACCCCCCAACCCACTCCTTGCCTCGCACGTCGAGGTGTCCTCGCGAGCAATCCATAACAGGTGTGTCTAAATATGTCTATTTTTGAAGTTTGCATTGCATAGAATTTTGTTTTGAGTTGTTGTTTACATTTTGTAGCCTCGCATTGTGCCCTGTGAGACATCTGTGTCATTTTCTTGCGCTTGAGCATGGCTCTTGTTTAAAGTCGTCCAGTGCTTGTTGGCGGATTTGGGTGAGCTATCGACTTGGTCCTTCTGGAGAAAAAACAAACTGAAGTTGGAGGGGGGGGGGTGGAATTAGGACCTCCGGCTGCCAAATCCGTATTGCCTACAGGCAGGCTGCTTCGATGATTGAAATATGTGGTTAATTACCTCATTTAAACACTCCGGGTCCGTGTTATGGTGAACGCATATAAATTTCACTGATAGCAGCATTCCTGAAAAATGTCCCTGTGTTCCTCACTAAGACAGTCTTGGGAGTAGCTTGGTGACCTGGTTAATTGCCGCCAAGTCCGTCGTGTCGGAGGGGGATATACAAATCACATGATAGTTCGTCAATGGATTTTAAAACGTAACAAGTCCAACCTAACCTAACAATATATATGGTTTTGATAATCGGAAAACGAGATTTGTCGAATAGATTTGTCCGTTCTCCAATAAGTTGAGTGAATTTTGTAAAATGACATGAGAGTATTTTTTGTTTCACACGTCGAACCAATATTAACTTTGTTTTCTTAGATTATATGAATTGCCTGGTTAATGTACGATATTTACCTAGTTTGATCTGGGACTAACACCAGTTTCAGTGGTTACCTTGAGGATACCAATAAGGACGGGGAAGCCTAAGGAATTATAATTCCCCTACAAGGTAAGAAATATAATTATATCGATGAAAAGTTTGGCAACAAAAAGTATTAATTAATTGTAGTTTTTGCTGTAGTGTCTCGAGATTGTTGCTTTTATATGAAGAACCAAACTATAATTGCTCCTATCCTAGTACCAAAAAAAAAAAAAAAAGCAGAATTCGACAGATTAAATCATAATATTTGAAATGTAAAAATTGTGATATGTTTTCACTAAATGGTTTCACTTTAGTGAGGGCCAAGTATTGGTTGAGATTTTAGTACATTATCTTTCCCGTCCGTCTGACATTGACGGTAATTAATAACATTGAGGATTCCAAAGCAAGCGAATTACTGCTCATACCTGCCTGGAAATGCATCCAACCTATTAAACAAATTATGGATCTGCATGCGAGTTTGTGATATTGGTGACTAGGTCAGTGATATTTTCAACCGATCCTGTTGTCGTGAGCGGGGGCTTGGTGGGCGGCTGCCGGAGTGCGATGCTCCTTGGGACAGTCCTCTGTCCTTCTGTGGCCTTGTGCTTCTGTCCTCTCTAATTGTGCTGAACGACTTTTCCTTTTCCTTCCGTTTCGTTTTTCTCCTCCCCTCTTCTCCTCTCTGCTTGTCGTTTCCTGCCGACCTTTTGCTTGTTTTGGTTATTCCTTTGGACTTCTATTTTGACGCCCGGGTGCTTGAGGAGGCATAGTCTTGCACCCGTAGAACTGTAGTACCCAACGTCTCGAGCGAGGGGAACCTTTTATTGTCAATCCCCCTTTCGTCTCTGAACCCGATTTCGACGGACTGACGGTTCTTAAGGTGGCGTTTGTGGGGCGTATACTCACGATGCACCCATAGAGGGCGCCGGCATGATCGGCGATAGCTTCCTGTTGGGTGTCCTGCCTCTAATTGTGGCTCCATGGTGGGTATGGGGGCACATTCGTGGATGAATTTGTCACTCTTCGTATTTATGTCATTGAATGTTTCTGTTGTACCCTCTCAGGCTCGTGGGATGGGCGACCAAGCCCCCGAGTCGGCCTGTATTGGAAGACCTGGCTTTGTAGCCCCCGCAGCGTTGGGCCCCGACCTTGCTCCTCCTTTGACCCTCTTGACTTCTTCCCCAGCTCCCCTCCCTCCTCTGTGATTGGGTCGAAGCCTCAAGCCCCCAGTGGTGACCACTTCGTTCCCTGGCGCGGCTAAATCTCTCGTTGTGACTACTGCGCCTTTTAACCCCTCTCTCTCTCTGGGGGTTCTCAACGCCGTCCGCGCCACGGCTGCACTCGCTCGATTCCTTCCCGTACTGATGCGTATCAGGTCTTGTTTGGTCCTGCTTCATGGGCCAAATACTTTGATCTCCTCCCTCTTGATTCTGCGCCTCCTCACGATTTCTCCTTCCATCGGCATCTTGTTGATTCCGTGGATGCCTCTGTTACCTTCAACCCCACTCGTCTCGGTACACGTGTCGTTGTTGCTCCTTCTCAGAATGCAGCTTCCCACTTGGCTGCCTTATCCTGCCTTCGCAAGATCCCTGTTCGGGTCTCAAAGAACGCTCGCTTGAATGCCAGTGTTGGCACTATTCTCCTCCCGCCCCATGTTGCGATCGGTGTTCGGAATCTACAGGACTGCCACGATGATATTCGGCATATCCTTGATGCCCAGTGCCATTCTGTCTTCCAGGTAGACTCGTTTACTCGTCCCCCCTTGTGATCGTCGCCGTCAACCCCTTCGGGTTGTGAAGATTACCTTTGATGGTCGGACCCTTCCACCCTCTGTCATTCTTGCTGGTGCCAGGTGCTCTGTCCAGGACTACATTCCTTCTCCTAGGCTCTGTAACAAATGCTGGAGGTTCGGGCATGGTGCCCTCCGCTGCTCTGGGACTCTCTCTCTCTCTCTGTCCGTTGTGTGGGGGCGAAGGTCACTCGAAGTCGGAGTGCACTTCTCCCCAGGCTCGCTGCCTCAACTGCGGTGAGGCCCACCCTACCTTCTCCCGTGCGTGTATCCATTACAAGCTTGAGGCAGCCGTCCTCAACTTGAAGCACTGGGAACGTTTACCTTTTCCTGATGCGAGGCGCCTGGTTCGCCGGCTCCCGCCTTATGCTAACGTATCTTATGCTGGCGTGTTGCGCTCCTCCTCTCCTCGTCCTTCCCACCTTCCTCAGACTCGCAACCGTTTCCGGGCCTTAGACCCTGATACGCCCACTGCCCCCTCCTCTGTTCTTTTGAGTTCTGTCCCGATGGGTCCCCCTCCTGGACCTTTGTCTGGCGGTCCCCCTTCTTTCTACCCGGTCTGTCATGTCTCCTGTGTCGTCTTCCTTGTCTCCCTCCGATCCTCCTTCCCATCCTTCTCCATCTATTGACTCTCCTCGCCGCCTGACGGTGCGGGTTGATGTCCATCGCTCTCCTAACGGCCGTCGTGTGTGCTCTCGTTCAGCACACACGACGAGACACTGGAATCCGTTGCCAGGTATGTAGTTGTTGGGACCCCGGTCTCTTTAAGTCAGAAGCGTAAACCTGGCTCCTCTCCTTCCTCCTCCTCGGCGGGTAAGAAGGCTTCGCTTTCTTCCTCAGCCCCTACTACTGACTCTATCGCTCCTTCCCCTCCCATTTCGGTGGTTGCGCCCCCTGTTCCTGCTGTGGAGGTTTCTTTGGCCCCCGCTTCCCTCTCAGTTGAAGCCCTTGTTGAGGTGCTCTCCCCTCTTCCTGCTGTTGTCCTTAACTGCTCCTTTCGGTTGTCTCCTCCTCTGGACCCCACCAGTCCACCTCTGGTCTGTTCTCCCGCTTCCTTCCCTTCGTCTTTGCTCAGTTTACCCATGCCCCCTAACCCTGACTTTGCTGCCCCTGATCCCGACCCTGATCTTCTTTAACGTGCTATGTTTCTATTTCGCCTTTGTTTCTTCCTTGTTCTCTGTTGTTGTCCTTTCCCTTCTCGTCGATGTCTATTCTTCAATGAAATGTTTGAGGTTATTACGCCAATTTCCTTGAACTCCAACTTCTGATTTCGCAGTTTTCGCCCCTTTGTGTCTGTCTCCAGGAGCCGATGCTTGGTGCTCGTTCTGGTCGCTTTCGTGGCTATTCCTTTCTCTTCCCCCCCCCCAGCTGTTGCTAGGGCTCCTAATTCTTCTGTTCTCTTGATTCACTCTAATGTTCCCTTTGCCCCTTACTTTTTCCGTCGCCTCTCCATTGTTCTGCTGCTCGTATCTTTGTGGGGAAATGGTACACAGTTTGTTCCATTTATCTCCCCCCGAGTGTCCCGCTTTCTCTTCCTGATCTGAAACACCTACTGGACTCCTTGCTGGAGCCTGTGCTCCTGCTGGGTAATTTCAATTGTCATTCCCTTTGGGGTGATGTTCTGACGAACACCCGAGGTCGCCTTCTTGAGCCGTTTATCCTCTCTTCTTCCCTTGTCTCTTCTGAATTCTGGTGAGCCCACACATTTGGACTCTCGGACTCGCACCCTTTCCTGTCTTGATCTTTCTCTTTGCTCGTCTTCTCTTAGATTTCACGTGGCAGGTTCTTGATGACCTCCATGGCAGTGACCATTTCCCCATTCTTGTTACCTTTTTCTCTTTTCGCCCTCCCCTCTCCTTCCCTAGGTGGCAGTTTGCTAAAGCGGACTGAACCCTATTTATCCTCAGTGCTGCTCTCTCTCTGACCCCTCCCTTCTGCCTCTCCCTCGCTCTCTCCTCCTTTTTCATTACACTGTCTTTAACGATGCCCTCCGCTCTATTCCTCGCTCTTCCTCTCGAGGTCCACGGAAGTGCATTCCCTGGTGGAATGCAGAGTGTGGTCTGGCTGTCAGCTGTAAGCGTGCAGTCTGGAAGACACCGCCGTCGACAGACGGCCGATTCTTTTCTTTTCTTTCTAAAGGCGAGTGCGGTGGCCCGTAGGGCCATCTGTTCGGCTAAACGTCAATGTTGGGCATCTTATGTCTTCACCATTACGTCCGAAACTCCTCTGCCACAGATCTGGAAACGTATCCGCAAGATAGCGGGTAAGTTTGTTCCCAATGTTTCACCGGTCCTTCACCTCCGTGGTACTCTTGTGGCGGACCCGTTGCAGGTCGCTACTGAACTGGGTTCCCACTTTTCTTCTGTTAGTTCTGGTCTTCATCTTCCCCAATCTTTCCTTCTTCGTAAACCTGTCCTTGAATCCCGTCCTTTCGATTTCTGCACTCGTCTTCGACTTCCCTATAACGATCCCTTCTCTCTCTCTGAACTTCGTTCTGCCCTGGAGCTCTGTGGTTCTACGGCAACGGGCTCCGATGGCATTTATTATGAGATGCTTCGCCATCTCCCTCCGTGCACGTCTCAGTATTTACTGAGTCTGTATAATCGGATCTGGGAGTCATCGTCAGTCCCTGAGGACTGGCTCGATGCCGTTGTCCTCCCTGTTCGGAAACCGGGGTCTCTGGGAACATCCCCTAAGGACTTTCGCCCTATTGCCCTCACAAGTTGTGTCTGCAAACTCTTTGAATGTATGGTTAACGTTCGTCTGATGTGGTTCCTGGAACACCATCACCTCCTCTCCTTCTCAATTTGGTTTTCGTAAGTGCCGCAGCACAACAGATGTCGTGGTGAACTTGGAGGTCTATATTCGTACTGCTTTTGCTGCGAAGACCTCAGTTGTTGCCATCCTTTTTGACCTGGAAAAGGCTTATGACACCACTTGGCGTTATCATATTCTATCCCATCTTCATTCTTTTGGCCTTCGTGGTCATCTCCCTCTCTTTCTCCACAGCTTCCTCTCTCGTCGTTCCTTTCGGGTGAGGCTTGGTACCGCGCTCTCTGCCTCTTTTCAGCAATACAAAGGTGTGCCCCAGGGTAGTGTTCTGAGCACTACTCTTTTTCTGGTTGCCCTCAATGGTCTTCTTTCTTCTCTTCCTTCAGGCGTCTCCTCCGCTCTCTATGTCGATGATCTTACCCTTTGCTGTCAGGGTGATGATTCGCCTCTCCTTCAACGCCGGCTTCAACTTGCGATTGATGCCGTGTCGTCTTGGGCCACCGATCATGGCTTCAAGTTCTCTACTACTAAGACTTGTGCCATGACTTTTACTTGGAAACGGGTCGGTCTTCGTCCCTCTTTGTCACTTTATGGTCATCCCCTTGAGTACAAAGATTCCGCGAAGCTTTTGGGGTTATTCTTTGACACTTGTTTGTCTTGGTCTCCCCATATCTCTTACCTCCGTGTTGAGTGCTCTAAGGCCCTTACCCTCCTTCGGGTCTTGTCCCATACTTCTTGGGGAGCGGATAGGCATTCCCATTACATTTACATTCTTTACATTCCCCTCTCGTCCTGTCTAAGCTCGATTATGGTTGCCCTGCTTACTCGTCTGCTTCTCCTTCTACTCTTCGCCGTCTTGATGCTTTGTACCATACTGGGTTGCGCCTCAGCTCTGGTGCCGTTCGTTCGACTCCCATCCTCAGCTTGTATGTTGACACTGGCTTCCTGTCTCTCTAGGACCGCCGTGATCGCTACTGTCTTCGCTATCTTGCATGATCCTTGCAACATCCTTCCTCTCGCCTCTGTGGTGCTTT